GGCCGGACTTCCCGTCGTTCCTGCTGCCCTTCCGGAAGCCCAAGAGGATCCGGACGGCGTTCAGCCCGAGCCAGCTCCTCAAGCTCGAGCAAGCCTTCGAGAAGAACCAGTACGTGGTGGGCGCCGAGAGGAAGCAGCTCGCCCAGGCTCTCAATCTCTCCGAGACTCAGGTGAGAATATAGGACATTATCATAATAGATAAGAGTTGGATATTTTGTCTGGAATTCTCCATTGTAGATTATTAAATGGAGATTGTTAAGATGCTGAGGAGGGTTGAGAATATTCATGAGTGATTTGATGGAAGAAATGAGGCAGTCCTGTTTTGCGGTTTTACAATTAGTCATATATTTTTTATACATATTTTATGATTAGTCTGAAAATCAGAAATTTGTTTAGTCTGTCTCTGGGTAAAACCATCGTTAAGGCTTTGTTTTATATTCTGCCGCCACAATTCGTTTAAACATTCCATTGTTCATTAATTTCTGTACAAAATCAAATTCACGAATTAAATCTTAAAAGACCCAACAAACGTAACCCCATCGACCTGATGTATCGCACCACACAAAAATCTATTTCCGTAACATGTTTGCAATTTCTTTATACCTCAAAGCCAACGATCCCTCGGCCCCTCTCTCTATAGCCGGGCGCTCAGGACCGTAAAAACGCTCCTTGACCATAGTGTGAGCTGCAGCCGAGTCGCAAATCACGCACCATCACGGAGGGTAATGCATGGCGCTCCCTCTTGCAAGCCCGCCCGCGCCCGTCATCGTACAGCAGCCGAGGGAGAGAGCAAGGCGGCTTAGGGGATCGTTGCCTTATTTGGGGCCTTTATGATCGATCTCCGTCGTGGAGAGAGACGCGGTAATCACTGCGAACCGTTTGAATCGAAGCGGCACGGAGGCGCTCCTCGTGAATCTTTGTGAGAATTTTGAAAGACGCAAATAACTTTGGCTTTGGAAAAGAATTCAGCGGCGAAATGCGAACGTTGGCAACGATGGTTTGTTCACCGTAGCGTGTTCAGAGCCTGTCAACACTGGCGGGACTTGCGTGCAATAATGCTGAATATATGAGGTTCCGGGGCATTACAGCGTCGATAGCTAGAATGTTTATGGCGTGTTTTCATGCCATGCGAATGGTATTTTCACCTCTAAAGCTTACAAAGGATAGCATTGACTTCCTTTCCTTCTCTCGCCAGTAGGGACGGGGTTTGAAGTGTGTTATGCAATGCAAACCACTTAGGACGACGGTCTGTTGTTGCTCAATGGGAGATACGCCCCTACGAACAAAGACTATTGGATGTCGGCGGTATCAAAGAGCAATTTGCTGCGGAAAGCTTCCAGTTTCCTCCACAACCTTTGCTTCTCTGTGTAAAAAAGTACAACTTTATCCTCTCGATCATGCGATTATTATGTTTTTAAAAAGTCACGGTGCGTGTGTTGCTTTTCATCACCATTGAAATAATTCGTCTTTTTATAGATTAACCCCGAGAACTTTCCTTGATCGAAGCTGTGAAATCACGGGTTGCGATTAGTGTTTAGACAATTTTGAAAGCACAAAGGAGAAGACATTTCCTGATACTCCGCTGCAGAACGAGGGCGGCACCAACGACCCTGAAGAACCTCGAATGGCAGTCTACATAAGGCGTGATGTGCGTTGCTTACCTATGCTCCCCATCATTGCCCTTCCCTTAAACTTACCTCATCGAACCCAATCTAGCCTGAGTTAACCGAACTTAATCTTACGTAATTCAATCTGACCCGATATACCAAACCCAACCTTATCCTACCTTAACCTAAACTAAACTAATCTTAAAGACTCGCTAGTGGTGGAGTGAAAATCTTACTTCATCAGCATTACGACACAAGCATGCGGGAGGGGGGTGGTTGGAGGGGGGGGGAGGGGTGGCGACTAACTCCACAAATTGTCGGGGACTGTAATTCTCGCACTTGAATTAACATTCATCCCGGATTTATTGGGGACACATTTAGTTCCATGTAGCGGGGAAGGAGGGAGCAGAGGGAAGAAGAGGAAAGGAGGGAGAGAGAAAATGGAGGGAGGCAAGCAGAAGAAATAGAGAAGAGGAAGAAGGGAAGAGGAAGGGAGAGAGAGAGAGAGATGAAAAGGGAAGAGATGGAGAGAGAGGAAGAGAGAGAAGGAGAGAGAGAGAGAGAGAGAGAGAGAGAGAGAGAGAGGAGAGAGAGAGAGAGAGAGAAGAGAGAGAGAGAGAGAGAGAGAGAGAGAGAGAGAGAGAGAGAGAGAGAGAGAGAATAGTAAGAGCTTTCCATGGTTTGTTCTGTTCACTGCATCGGTCCCATGGGTGCCACTGCGAGTTTGTGATGCCATAGACGTTATGGCCGAGGTTATAGCTCAAAAGTGTAATTTTAGAGTTCTCGAGAGGTGATAAATGCGTGCCTACGGTTCTAGTTTATATCCAGAAGAGTGGCTTTGACGTGAATTATCTGCGATGACGGTGTTTTCTGTTTACATACAGTGCAGCTGAGGCGTAGTTCTGGTGTAAAGATAGTGTGTTTGATTGTCGATATACATTTAGCTGGATTAATTTATCCAGTGCGTTTGAAGTAATGCTTGTGTATTGATATCTGTTAAGTAGCCTACATGTAATGTGTGCGTTTATTTCAGTATGTGCTTTTACGGGGCTTTGCAATTGCATTTATTGACGTATCTTTTAAAGCTATGTAGATAATTAATTTGGGTGTATATAGCGCAACATGTGAGTTTAAAGTAGTAGGTGCTTTTGTAACACAATTTGCTGCTTTGAATGAGATTGCCATAATGCTTGTATTTACATGTTCTGTATCTAAGTGTCTCATACTTATGTATACACTTTAGGTATTGGAAGACCAGGCGGAAGAAACTCAATCTTATTGTGTCGTATAATGGCAATAATAACAATGACACGGGTATTGACGGTGATAGCTACTCTTTATATAAACTGTATTATTATTAGTAGTGTTATTTGTTATAATAGGTATTTTCAACATACGATCCCCCAAAAAAATATAAAAAAAACACATTTCCAGTACCTTTTGGGATACAATCGTTATTTGCTTTAACTGTATTTCAGTGTAAGTTCAGCTAACTTCAGATGCCGTTCGTCACTTACAAAGGGCCTTATTAGGTCTCATTGCCGCCCTTATATCACAATCGCGGTGCAAACTTTGAGCAAACGAAGCCATTACGGTCTTGGAACATGGCTTGCTGTCTCTGATAACGGTTAATGACTTTCAGGCAAACTGCTATTATCATGCAAGCTTGTCGTAATGCTCCGGCTGTATACCTTCTTTCTCCTCCTCCGCCACTTTCGCTCTTGCTCTTTCTCTTTCGTTTTCTTTAACTCGACTTTCTTCGATCCCTTTGTCTCTCTCTCTATCTCTCTCATTCTCTCTAATTCTCTAATCTTTTTGACTCTCCTCGCTCTCTTTGACTCTCTCGTTCTTTCGCTCTATCTCTGACCTCTCTTGCCTTTTTGACTCTCATTCGTTCTCTTTGACTCTATCACTCTCTTTGACGTCTCTCTCTCTCTCTCATGCTCTTCCCCATTCTCCCTAATGCCAGTTGTTATCTGACTTCTAATAGAAAAAAGTGATAATACTAACACGTCCTTTGTGATCTTATCATGAACACATGTGGATGACGAAATAGTTTGATAAAAGTATCGTGTAAAATACCACACAATCCGCAGGTGTGGTTGAAATGACAAGGCTGTACAATTTGTATACACTCCCCACCCGTCCGTTTAATAGGGTTATTAAGAGAAGAGTTCGTAACAAGGCAGTTACTTCCACAGGGAGAAAGAAAACAAGGTGATGACGCTGAGGTGTGGTCATTATGCCCTGAATTGCATTTTAAGAAATGGACCGTTTGAATTCACAGTTGTACGCGTATTAAGCTTTTCTTTATTAGTTCCGAGAATGTCTGCTTGGTCATTAAGAGACACAATAGCGATACACAGACCAGGCAAGATTTTTTAAGTATCCAATTCGAGTATATAATTGATGAGGTACATCTATGCAGAACGGATCAATTGATATGAAAATCAATGAATAACAAATATGTATATATATTCTACGCTTTTGAACAAATAGACAAGGGATGGCACATAATTCACGGCTTGGTAGATACTTAAGGGAACAAAAATATGAACTGAAGGATTAGAGAATAAGATCTAAGGAATAAGAAAATAAAAATAAAAAAATAAAAAGAAAATTGCATGCTCGAGAAAACTCGCTACGTCCCACAGCAAACACAAGTGCTGTATGAAAGACGATAATAGTTTACCCTCCACAGCGTTATTGTTATCACTCATAAGCAGTCACTCAGAATGCAACATTGCCCACACAGGCTCCTAACCGCATGCTATGCTTAAATGGGCCTTTCGTTCTTAAACTTCTAAGCGCTAATGGCGGAAGTTCGGTGAGCATGGTATTACAACGAGCAAAGGGAATTTATGATCGATTTAAGATGTGTTTTCTTTTCGGAAATGGAATTTTTTTTTTTCTTTTATTCTTTTTTTTCTTTTTTTTTTTGGACAACGGGTATATATGTTGCTTATGGTTTATCACCGAATTCAATTTGTAAACTTTTTTGCTTTTCCTGCACGACAGTTCCTCCCCAGGGACTTCATTTCTTACAATTATCCTCACTATGGTATTATATTCTCCGGGATATTTTCTCGAAGCGTTTTATTCCACGTAAATACCATTATAAGGATTTTTTATCGCCGGAAATAAATTCCCGGCGCCACTTCGCCATCACCCTGTTTCTTCACTTCTTTCTTCAAGGACGCCTTCCTCGGGATTTTCTTCCCCTCACGTTCGCCCATTTGAATACCTTGATGGCGACTTATTTCCCGCTAAGGTCATAGGTTCTCTCCACCAAAGGTCTTCCTTTAGCATTTTCCACGTTAGAAATGTAACCTTAGACTTCCTTCCCTCCTGAAAGTCCTACCCTTAAACGGTTCTTCCCACTCTGGTCTAGCTTAGACTTTCTCCCACCTGTATCTAACCCTTGAATCAACTTTTCCCCACCAAAACAACCTTAACCTTCTCCCGACCCAGAAATCCATACCTCAGTATTTTTTCTCTCTCTTCCCGCCATATCACTTTACCAGTCATACGCTCATCCCACAAGACAGGATCAAGCTTACTCCTGACCATTCACT